TAGAAGACCAAAAAAGGGCAATTATCTGACATTGGTGTAGTGTATACGTACAATATATCATCGAAGCATACATATATGAGAGCCCATGTGCATCGGGTAGTCAACATTTTAAATCTGATCTGCACGGAAAAATCATCGTTGAAAAAAAATGAATTGATGCGTTACGTCTGAAATTTGCATAAATAAAATTTTCTCCGCTTGCAAACTATTCATTGTTCTGTTGGGTCTGAGGTTGTTAGAGGAGGAGATACATATATTACAGTTTCATCATAACGAAATTCATGTAAATTATCTCATATACCATATTGATTTTTCCAACCTTTAAACTTAACTGGTACGATGGTTTTCGTCCCAAACTACCTTGGACTATGGGCAATTGGCCGATATAGACTATTCACACATAACACCGTATTTTTACTTTACTATACGATATGTACAACGATGCAGTAGCTAGCTCGTCTCACCAATAAGCACCGCAGCTATTTTCGTCTCTTAATGAATTGCGAGAAATGCTCTCCACCACCACCACCAACAACCAATCAAATGACAAAAACACACCATATACTATATTCTATGCAACAATATTTGAATAAGAACCTGCCTTGTTGATCTCTCTCTCTCTCTTTCTCTCTCTCTCTCTCTCTCTCTCTCTCTCTCTCTCTCTCTCTCTCTCTCTCTCTCTCTCTCTCTCTCTCTCTCTCTGTGTGTGTGTGTGTGTGTGTGTGTGTGTCTTTTCCTCGTTGCTAGCAGTATAATGAACGAATTTCTTTTTGTTTATTTGGTAAGTGGCGGGCGCTCTATGAGTGTGCACGTTATGTGTTTGTGTGTGTGTATTTGTGCTTTTTTTTTATACAATAGTGCCTGGTTCAATTCGCTAACATTAAATGATGAACATGTTCGAGAAATTGCTTTTTGCCGGTGGAGTTGTTCGGACGCGATGCGTGCATGCAAGGACGTGTTTGTGCAAGAAACATCTCAATATCTATCTTTATGCATATAAATATATATAGATTTTACAGCAAACGGTAGAGCAGCGACGGTAATTTTCGTTTGCGAAAATCTCGATTTAAGTACATCACATAAAAATGGATGCAGCCAATTTCTCAATTCATATTTTTCGGCTCAGTGAGAGCTCATGTTTTGTTGAATTTTTTTTCCCAATCATAACGTACACTCGAACATGTGATAGCGATATTTTATTTTAGCTCGAATATTTGACCCGGGTCATATCATCATTCGTACGTGTACGTTTGTCAGTCAATGTGCTAAGCTCACTCGGTTGTTTGTCCGTTTTGTTTGGCGATGCATATAAATATACATTTGTACGATTTCGTGTTATGCGAATCGATTGGTCAAACAACTCGACCGGACCCAACATCATTATTCACCGAACCTGATATCGACTAACTTTTTATTTACCAAGTTCGTTGGAAAAAAAAGTCATCAATTGTTGGAAACGTTTCCTCATTTTTGATAATTTTAGTCAAATGATGTGTCGTTTGGCATTTTTCATTCTCTCTACCATACGTCGATCGTTCGCCGTGCATTTCGCTATGTCTATATTTATTATATGAAGCAAATGCATGTCTTGTGTAAGTGCAGCAAGTGAGATCCAGTGTTTCGTCTGTATATTTCTTATTTACATCAGACAATAAATTCAAACTACAGATAATATGCGCATTTCGAAAAAAAAAATTCCATTCGTTCATTTAAACGATTTTTTTTTCGTATTTGTTTCGCATTAATTGAATTAAGCGCAGCAAGAACGATCACAAACAAAACTGAATCGATGAAATGGGGGAAACAAATTGGAACGAATTTACAAATAAAAAACGAACGCCTTTCATGGCACAAAAAGTTTAGATATATTAAAAACAAACGGAAACAATCCTAGCCGAAGTGAATACAAGACAAAGATTGAGTAAACACCGGCATACAGGTCAGGGAACATAACATTGAGCAGAAAGATAAAAAGCAATTAGCAATTTTGTGAAGCTCAAAAGAAAATCCAAACGACAGCCATTGTTTTCGAAAAGGAAACGGTGAACAAGAGGCTCACAAACCGACTGTTGTGCAAGAGTGATTGAGAAAGGACAACGAACTCACTCACAGAGAAACAAAGAAACGTTGCTGAATTTCTGTTTTAATAGTCAATTTTTTTTTGTATTCGTCGTCGTCGTCGTCAGCGTTGTTGTTGTTGTTCTCGCATACAACTTTTTCTTCGACATGTATCTGAAGCGTTGAACATCCGAGCACGCTGGATCTTTGGCCTTGTTTGCTGCCATTGCAATACTCATATGGATTGCTACGTTAGTTCGTTTTATTTGTTGTGTGTGTTTGTGTTCTTTTTCTGACTGTTCATCGAATGTATAGATGCGAACGACGCAGTCCAAGATTCACGATTCCAGATAAAAATTTGTTCTTGTCAGCACATCCACCGTTAAACATGAAACGGGCGATTTGTGCATTTATTTTCTATTGCTTATTTTCTACTCCCTTTAATTCCATCTCTTTCACTCCTGTTGCCATTTTTATCGCTCATACTTTTCGATTATTTAAATTCTGATTATTGCAGTTTTTATGTGTCGCATACTAGAAATGGCCACACTTTTCTACACCATATCAAACGGAAGCATTTACACCAGTGTTTAATACGAATCAATAATAGACAGTAGAAAATTTTGAGCAAATTAGCGCCATTTCAATATGAACAACACACTTTTTCATTAATCAAAATTGTTTTTCTCTGATATTCGTGTTTTTTGTTGTGTTATTGTTGCTTTTGTGCACAAATAGCATTGCAGTGAGGAAAGCGATATCGATGCCCTGCCGTTTAGGTCTAGCTTAATAATTAAGAATCACGTCAATAAAAACACAAGCATTTTTGATTGTATCGATACACATATGAGAGAAATAAATGTGTAATTTAAGTGCAAAGTTTGAGCTTTTGTAGAAATAATATGTCGGCAACGCGTGTGTATCTTTTGGGTTAATGAACTTTTCACTTGTCATCTATCTCTCTCTCTCTCTCTCTCTCTCTGCTCTAATGCAACAAGAAGGAAACAAAATGAACATAACAAAGGCAGGCTTACACACTCACTCTTTCGCTTTGCACACATTGCAATAAAACAATAAAGTCATACGGTATTGTATTCTGACCCTTTACTATAAATTAACCGTTATTATTAAAATGTAATAGCCGAGATAGATAGAAAAAAGCCACAACAAAGAGAGCAGTGTATTGCCGAAAGCAGTGGAGATAATAATGATGATGATGATGATGCAAAAGTGTTTTTGTGATATGCGCATATATACGTTGGCCGGTTATCTCTGTGCGCATATAAATTTGAGTCCACCACGAAAAATATAAAACATACTGAATATAACAAAATCAATCATATCATACAATATTTTCACATGCTAATAATGACACGATGAATATCAATGTTTTCTCAATTCAAATGTTTCGCCTATGACAGGTGACATTCTCACACACTAACTCGTAGTCTGTCCATCATAAGCGTAGAAATCGGAATCAATCAACAACATTTCTTAGCTTTGTGCATTTTGCACTCGATAAAATTGTTTATTTGAATGGATATTTCAGTTTTCTTAGTGTACACCATTCAATGCTTGATTAAATCATTCACTCTTTGTTTTGCTTGTCCAAACTCACAAAACAGTATGAAGCAATTTCTACTGATGGCATACAGACGTGTGCAAGAGGAAGGGTTTCCAGTTTTACCCCACATCTAGGATTTAAATATCTCACACCCACATCTAGCGATTTTGACTAGTTTACACATTACACTAGATATATAATCACATATATATAATATGCACAGATTTTTTTCACGAAAAATGAGGACGTTTTTTCGATTAAGAAAAAAAGGGGAACGTTTTCAATTTCTGAAATTTCATGAATAATAGGGCGGGTTACTGAATTTTGATTATTATCATTCACTTTTTAGAAAGAACTGTCACAAGGTTTTCGAAGATCGAAGATCTTTCAACAACATTTTATCGACTGTTTTGATTATCGAATGGATGTTAAAGAACGTGTGAAGGCTTTATACCATTTGTGCTTTTTGCAATAATATGGAGCCGCCATGATTATTTACCAATCAATAGTACTGAAGTACAGTGTATTTGAGTCTATACCTTCTCCACTACTGCTTGAAAGAACAATGGTATAAAAATCTGCAAGAATTTACGCTTCGTTCTTTGAATGAAAATGAATACTAATTCGCAGTGAAATGTCAAGGTCCATAAATCAGCTGATATGAACGGAAAATGCATATTCCGGATGAAACTATTTATTTAGAAAAAAAAATTCCATTTAGTCTCTAATTTTCGTGTTTTTTAAATTAATTCACAATAAGTGGACTCGGAATATGGGAAAATAATTTAAAAAGAAAATAGAGAAATTGTTTGCTTCTTCGAAAATTCTTGATAGCTCGTTTCCCAATAATTGATTGAATTCGAATGTGAAGTATGAAACGAAGCGGCCAAATAATTATTACAAAATATTTAAACTATATCACCTACCATCGATACGAATAGTAGACTCCACTTTGTGTGCTTCTTTTTCTACTTCAGTTTAAAATGCTATGCATGTGTAATGTGTGTGTATATGTAATATTGACAGCTACATCGACAACGGTGATGACGACGAAGAGAAGGCGAAATACATAAAAACCAACATGTTCGCAACAGTCTGGACGTAGACAACGTTTGAACATTTCGAAGACACGAAACAAATATATTCGAAACAGCAAACAATGCAGTGAATGCACTGATTATGCTGTGAGATGTTTGTTGTTCTGTTCATAGTCGTATCATTTGAGCAATTCGTTTTAAATCATTTTGAATTGTATTTTACCAATAATAGTTTTTTCTTCTTCTCGGTTTTGTTGTTTTTCGAAACCAAACTCGCAAATATGAAATTTGATTTTGATTTGATTTTGATTTAGATTTTCTTATTTATCTATTTGTTGCAGGTTTCAGACGATAAAATTAAATTGATTCAACCAACTACCGGAGCTTAAATAGGAGTATATCGAGATAGCGATTGTATTTTTGAACGTGATCCTCCATTCTCTCTCTGTGTGTGCATGTGCGTGCGTATGTATGTGTTTGGCTTGAATGTGTCCGAGTGATATCGAAAGGAATATCGGTGTTGCTGTTTTATTTTTTGTTCATCGTGTATGGAACAAACAACCAGAAAATCATCATAAATTTCAAGTGCTTCTCGTCGGTGGAGCAGCAAACTCTGAATAAACGAACGTGCTAAAATGGTTTCAACACGGCAAATGTCTATAACAACCGTTAGTCCTGAAGCAGGTAAGAGATTCAATTTCAATCTTATTTACATTTTATCTCTTTCTCCCCTCTTTCGATTCAATGTCGCGCGTAATCAATTGCCTGATTTGTTTATTATTTGACTTTGAGAGAAGCACCATAACAATGGAGCAAATACAGTCGGTGGATACATTTCTCTCTCTCTCTCTCTCCTTTTTATTGCTTTCGCTTCGATTGATTTCGCAATAGCCGCATTGCAAAGAAAAAAGAAATCATCATTCAAGATATCCAAGGGGCAATTCACTAAAAAGTTGTATTACTTTTTCAGCAGCGTTGTATTACTTTTGAGTGATTTGCCCTTGAAGATATCAGTTTTATTGTATGTCGTTTTTTTTATTCAATTCTCTGTTTTTTATTCATTTATTTGTTTGTCGTTTGTTGAAATATTAGGATCATCGGGAGTGAATACAAACAGCGGATCGAGTCGAATGACGTCTAACACACTCAGTCAACAGAGCAGCAACTCGACACGCCAACAATCAAACCATAACTCGGCCAACACTACGGCAATGGGCGATGCGACTCAATCAAACATTGGTGCTATCATCGTTCCGGCACGCCAAATCCAACTCACAGACATGCCGGTGGAGATTTTCGAGCGAATTTTTCAATACACCGGCTACAAGGAAGTCTCAAACATGCGATTGGTAAAAAGAAACAAAATATACATTACATTACACATGCATGCATACATATTACATATATACTTACGTATAGACGCAAACTCAATTGATTCAATCAAAAGTGCGATTCAGCAAATTTGCAAATGTATTTCATTTTGATTTGCGCTATTTTCATTTCAGGTTTCAACTCAAACAAATCAAATTTGTAAAACCATTTTGAATTCAACGTTCACGAAATTGCAAACACAACTGATGAAACGTTTTCAAAATATCAAGAAAATCATGCCCAGAAGGTAAGTGCCAAACAAGTCGATGCTCTTTCTAAACCATACATAGAATTGTTGTTCTGATTTGTTCACACATACAAACACAAGTGTACGATAGATACACTGCAACTGACAGAGCGATTCAAATCGTGAAACGATTCTATTGTTTAATTTCATTAAATTATTTCGAATCTGAGTCAAAATGAGCCAGTCAAAATGGCGATTTGTTAAATTCTTTCAATTCTCTCTGTACAAATGAAATGAAAAATAACACACACAAAAAACATCCACATTGTTTTGTCTATGAAACACTAGAGAGTCAGCTCGGCGATCGCATCCATTGTCCTACGAATGTGATATCATTGAGACGTGCTGTATGCGTTTATCATTGTTACAAATGACATTTGGTCGGTACATTGAGCACAAGCATATATGCTTCTTTCCGGGCGCAGTACGTATTCCATTTCCATATACAAACAAAATAAAATTTATTTTTCTCTCTTTCTCCTGAATTTTGATACACACTACCTACTATATAAAGCACCAAATTAAATCTAATAACAATTGTTTTCATCCCATTTTCAGTTTCTTGACGAAGTGTACAACGTATTGAATTATATCCGAACCACACCAAATTTAGGTCGTCCATATAAAATAACCGAAGAGTTGATAGATCTTTCAACAATGGCTATGGAATTTTTTAAAGATCATTTGGAGCCGTCGATGCCACAATTTGGCCTTCTCAGCAAAAGTTTCTTTGGCAAAACTTCGACCGCAACACGTAAGCAAGCAATTTTCAGTGAACTTTGGCTAAATAATTAGTATTTTTATGGATAATCCACTGAAATTGATATATTTTTGATTGATATTGGCGCACAGGTGCACCGTCAAAGAATTGCTACTTGTTCAATACAGCATCAACATCAACATCAACATCATCGTCATCGTCAGCAGCGGCAAATTCAGTGTCCATATCAACAAGATCGAGTCAATCGAGCTCGATGCCATCACCGCCACAAAGTAACATGGTTCTACGAAAAGGCATTCGTAAAATTAAGCAAGGAATGAAAAAGTGAGTAAATTATCCAACAAGTTTGTTTCAGTGGCGTTAATGAAAATCGATTGAAACTATAATTAAACCCTGTTCACATGTCTTCTCTCTGCCCGGAGAAGTTGTATTCGAGTAAGCAGTAATTGTTCTTTTTCTACCAACTTACCTTCTAGATATAACAATCAATTGTCTGTGCTGCGCACCGATTTACGTTTCTGCAAGCGGAAATCAACTGATCAAGCCAAACAAATCACCGAATTACAAAACATGTTGGCCGAGCAACAAAAGCAAACACTCGAATATGCAAATCGGCTCGATGAAAATGACAAGAAAAGCGAAGAGATGTCATCCAAAATATCGACATTGCTGCAAGAGTTGAATAAATGCAAAATTGAATTGCACTACTATCGCTCAAAGAGTCCAGCCACACCGATTTGCATCTGTAATAACTGTGGCCAGACCACATTAACCATACCACCGGGAAATTTGTTAGCATTAATGAAACAAAATAATATCAATAGTAGCCGTGAAGAGATAATCAATGTCCTAGGTAAATGTAATAATTTTGAATTAGAATCGAAAGTACAAAGCCATGAGTCAAGCATCTCACAAGATCTCACAACAACACCCAAAAGCAATGCGGTGAACGCAATGTTGTTAATGCACAATAATGCTGACGACAATACGGATGCGCTGAACGACTTGAATGGATCAAACACATCGTCAACATTGCTATTGTCGCCGGAATATGGCGTTGATGCATCGATCAATGGTTCCATGCCATTATCGTCATCGTCGACATCGTCATCAGGTTCCGGTGTATGTACAAATGTAGCAACGCCCATCAATCGTGGCGGCATTTTTGATAGCCTTGAGAAGCGTTTGAAATTTGCTCGTCACAAGGCCAACAGTAATCAAAATATGACCGAATGGCAATATGCGGTTTATGACAAAACGACGAGTGTCATCGAGAATTCGATGATGGCCGATACAAGTTCGTCGGGCAACGAATTGGCGGCACAGACAACTCAATCGTCGAACGCACAGCAACTGTCAGCTACTACTGTGCCACAGGATGAGCAGCAGACTAAACAAAAATCGGCCAATGGCGGTGGCGGAGTCATACTAACAGTAGGCACCCCTCGATTTTATGGCAAACGTAAACTGGATGATGGCATAGCAGTTCCATCAAACGATGCGATATTGAATATGTCGGATCTCGGAGCGGCCAGCGCAACAATCTCTTTGAACACTCCGGCAATGGCAACCACAATTACCAACAATAAAACCAATGCTTCGGCCACCAATAATCTTGCCAATTCTAATCTAAGTGATAACTATAATAAAAAAGCACGAAGAGTACAAAATAAATTGAAAATTCACACTAACAATACGAATATCAAAACACGCAATAAGTGAACTGATACTACAAATGGGACAGCACATATACACACACACTCACACTTAAATGAAGCAACAAAAATTAGAAGAAACAAACAAATAAAAACAATTCAAAAGAGGATATGTAAAAAATAACAATGATAATGTGGACGAAATAAATATTAACTATTTTAATTTAATGATAGCCCTTGTCAACTTCGAGCTATACAACAATTTTTATCATGATGTTAATGAAAGAACAAAATCAACTATTCGAATCTATCATACAAAGCGACAATTAACAATTGCATATTATGTCTATTAAACACTAATATTCGCGATATAATTTTAAATTGAATCCGTTTTTCCGTTCAATTCGGCGCATGCAATGCAATGATCTCCCAAATCGTTCGGTAATCGAATGCTGTGGATACTGTGTGTGCACTTCAAAATGATAGTCTCGTTTTTGAAGGGAACACTCAGCAAATGTTCGTTTTCGATTGTCAATCAACACACAGACCCGCCTGCCCCATATCCTCGCCCCAGTTCCCCTGAAATTTCATATATGGAAGAGCATTACATACATTTGTGTAGACATGTTGTCTCTAGAATTTTTCTAACATTTTTCGCGTATGTAAATTGCATTGTTGTACACTACACCCATATATTTGCAATGTATGAGATGAAGTATACAACTAAGTAGTGATCATTATTCATTAGTAGCATTATTGCCGTACGTTTGGCTTTTGCTGTTAGACAAAACAAAAACCGAGGAAAAAAAGAGTAAAAATAACATTTCGAACTGTACACACTCGAAGTAATACGTTCCGATTTCAAATGCACCAACTTTATTTCCTCTCTATTCATTCATTTCCTTTCGTTTAGAAAAACAGAAGAAAAAAAAACAAAATATAAAATAATAAAACCGACACCAGCGATAAACCGATATGAAGAGAACAAACCAAAACATGGGTTTCTAAAGAATTTTATCATTTGTTTCTCGTCTCCTCCTATCTCGTGTGAAAAAACACCAATATCCATAGGCCTTCACAGCAAATTGCGGTTTTTATTTATCAAAATTTAAAATCACTATATTTTTGTATTAAATTTATATGGGATGTGAAGTAAATATGTGAAATATCGAATCAAGCGAAAGCTTAATTAATGTACACTGTGTACAGTGTACACAGAGAGAATAAAAGAAAAAGAAAAACTAACAAACACACAAACTCATTTGATAAGAATTGGAAGGAAAGAAAGAAAAAATATTATAAACAATAAAAAACCACAACTTTGAGGATACACAGAGGATGAGATAAATGATATACACAAGAAACAGACTCGACGAATAAAAAATGTAATAGTCGCGAAGACACAGATTCGACGTTTCGACCACCAAAAATACACACAAATACACAGACGAAACCACATGCGGAAAAGAAAGAAGAGAAACACGAGAAACGAAATGAAGAATCAAACAATAACAAAATCTAAAATCTATTTAAGTCACATTATATCTGAATAATAGAATGAAATCTGAAATATTTTCATAATTATATTTAGACGGAATAAACAAAAAACAACAACAACAAAAAGGAATAATATTAATAATATTGATGATAATCAGTTAGATTTCTCTTCCTCGCTGTGGCTGAATAATAGATGTTTGTATGCACATTTTTTCATAGGTTCTTTCAAGTCACCCAGTTTATCGTTTTTCTTTCCTTCATTCTAGTTTTCTCTGATCGATCTGCACCTCGACTGGCAAAAATATCATTTGAATCGTTACAAAATGGGTGTTTAGTTTCATATTTGTATCCGCGAAGAGTGCAAAATGTTGGGAAAGGAAGCATTTTAGAACAGCAATTTTCAGATTTTGTTTCAGTGATAAACAACTACTCTGTCAATGGCAAATGTTTTTTGAATATTTAAAATTAAATTGCGTCTTTCGCCGAGAATGGATCAAATATGATGGACAAAAAAAAATGGAAAAACCAATTTCAAATGTTATATTTGTCATTCGTAATCTGTGGAAAAGTCTAGAACAAAAAAAGCCGAAATAATTCCAAATGGAAATAACAAGAAAAAAAAATTACCAAAAATTTGCGTAGGAATTGTGTGTGGTATTTAACATTTGAAACTCTCAATTTTTTTTTTTGGCAATCGCAATGGCAATCGTAACATACTTGTGAATATTACGTCAAATAGAGTTAGATTCAAAATTATTCGTATCATTAAAATTCAAATGTGAACGTATTGTTTATTTTTCTTCTTCTTCAAAAGATAAGAATGAATGATGAACACACGTACGAATGAAAAATGGCTTGATTCATTAGGGGAGAACAAATAAATGCATGCAAGCGACTAAACGTGCAATTTAAATACTATTTGGAATGGGCAATCATTTTCATAAATTTGAGTCAATCAAAAACATGTTGTTTTATCTTCGATAGATATAATTCACGCTACCCGTCAATATCTTGTATAGAGACGTGATTGAGTGTGTTTTGAACTGATTACATTAGAAAACTCCAAACAAGAGGTAAAACTAAAATTATGTCGCTACAATCATGTTTCTCCCCGTTCATTTGAAATAACACTGAACAGATGAGTCCGAAATAGTTCGTCTTGAGTGAGAATAGCTTTATTTAAATGAAGAAACTAAAAGAAAAAAGCAAACAAAAAATAAATTGCTACCGAGCAGCTGTTGTGAAACTATGAAAAAAAATTTCAGGGAATATTTATAGATGGCATCCAATTTTAAAAAAAAGAATCATATTATTAATTGTAACGAATAACAACAAAATGAAAAATGAAAAGAAAAATGAAACATTCACATCAAATCAAATCAAATCAAAAAAAAAAAAAATTGAAAAAGAAAGAGTCAAACCATTGAATAAACAGGAAATATTATAACCAAATTTTAAGACAAAGTCAAATCTTAACGGGCATGCTTTCAAGCCAATTCAACGAGTTGGTCTTGATTTTGGGTTGAATCTTCATTCTCGCGTGCACTGGCGATACTCGATCGAATCGATCGATCAACGGCCATTTTCGATATCAAACCAATGATTGCCTGTGCATCCGCCGAATAAATCACATCCGTCAAGCAATTTGCTATCGGCAAACACAACGTGTGCACACGAATTCGTCGTTAACCTTTGCTGCTTGTGTAGCGCAGCTTCATCCGACCATAATGAATAATTCAGAGCAACAACACGAAAGAGATGATTGAAAAAAGCGGAAAAAACTCTATCTAACACACACAACAAATGAAGTAAAAAGAAATCAATTGATCATTTTAAATGAATATTTTTAATGGAAAATCTCACACTTCGGTTGAGCATCATTTATTAGACCGTTTTATTGCTGGCCGAAACAACAAGTCAATTCGTACATAAAACATACTCTCTCTCATTTAAGTGTGCAATTTTTAAAATTTGGAACTACCAATCAGCCAGCTGGATTTAAATTCTTTCAACCAATAACACCTACACACAAAAAAATAAAAACAAATTATATATATGTGTATATATATATATGTATATACATATAAATATAAGAAAAGGTTTTAAAAAAAGAATAGACATTGTTTCAAACGTGATTTGAGAAAGAAGAAATAAACAAATAATAACTGAAAAGGAAGAAATTAAATCGTGAAGAAATTAATGAAAAAAATGCACAATACAACATATTTATAATATATATATGTATATATATATATATATATATACACCTGTACTTAGATCGTATTTTTAATTGATTTGCATTATTTTTCTCTCTTCAATTTGATTTTAAATAAAAGAAAAAAAAGAAAAAAAATATTAGGAACCGCATTTATTACAATTACAATTATGCGACACAATAATACTTTTACGATAATTGAACCAAACACCAGAGACCGATTTTTCAAATTAAATAAATGGCGCACGGATGCCATGTGCAAAATTCCCCGTCTGTCAAACGATATTTAATTTGTAATATTGTTAAGTGTTGAAGCAAATGAAATTATGTTCAAAATTCACAATTTTCCCCTGCCTCTCCCCCTCACTTGAACTAGAAATGAAAAGGAATGAATGATTGATGCGACAAAAAGGAAACGATATGAACGAATGCCTTAAGACAATAGTATAAAGAGTCAAAATGGTTTATCAATCAGACTGTGTGTATAATTTCTAAATCAAAGTGCAAGCGAATAAAAAAAAGCAAACATTTATCGTTCCGTTTACATCGTTTAGACAGACAGCATGGCACTTTGCATCAATTGAACAGATCGTGTGAATTTATTTATTTAGAAGGGGAAATCAGTCCGGTGCAGTAGCTATTACTGTATTCATTTAGAGAAGAACAATGAAAAAAAAATCTAATCTAATCGAATGGATCAACAGCACTCCCTATAGCGTGCATGTCCATTGTGTAGTGATTGGCAAACGAATAAAACAAAACAAAAAAATGCCCAAACAAACCAACAAAAATAAATAACATTTTTTTTCTTGAATCAAATCCGGACAAAGAATCCGTCGAGTTTTCTTTTCTATTTTGTTTTTAAATAAGTGGTTCGATTGGGCAATCGTGAGCGGCTGAACCTAGGAAATCGCGTAACAAATCGTTAACCGCTTGAGGAGTGTGGTGTTGCAAGAAGTGGTTGGCACCGGGAACAACCTCGATTCGAATTTTCGGATATTCTTTAGCCGTCAATTCAAGCGTATTCTTCGAAATATACTGCTCGAGTTCACCCAAAACATACATTCCGTCGGAACCGTCCAATCGATTCTTTGATGATGATTGTAATTCATTGCCACGAGTTCCAAAATTTGCTCGATAGTAATTGATTGCAGCTGTCAGAGCACCTGGTTGATGAGACGAATAAAATAGTTTGTCATTTCGTTTTAGCGTTGAATTTTTTTTTTCAAATTCACTGACCTGGTCTTGAGAACGTGTATTTGTATGCTTCCAAATCTTCCTCGGTAAAACTATCGCCCAATTGATCCTCCCAAATTATATTGAATAGGCCAAAGTCGTCACTCATCATTGAAAGTTCGGGCAAAAATGGCATTTGAAATAATGACATGTACCATGACCTTTTGAACTGGTCCATCGATGAATTGAATGTCTTTTTGAAAACACGACGTGATGGCGCTCCCATCATCGCGTACTTATACACCATATGCTTGTTTTGACTAGATTCAGTAAAATATTATGACGAAAGAAAAAAAGAGAATGAATTTTATGCGGAGCAGATAAGAATCAAAACATGTCCGTCCTATGTGCGTATATTTCAATTTAAATCCATTTTTTTTTTAATTCATGGGTTTTTTATTATGTGAGTCGTTTGGTTTTTCGCGGCCCGGAGAAGGTTTTTGGTACATACTCATTTAATAAATAAGAAATTTTGTAGTTTTCGCTTACTCTTGGTTATCAGTTTGGGAAATGATATTTTCGTTAGCCGCGATATTGAGTGAGAAAATTACGAAAAATTCGGAGCCAATGCACGCCGCAATATTTTCGTTATTTTTAATTTCTTTTTTACGTAACTATACAAAAAAAATTTGGTCATGCGATATTGACTGAGCAGATTTTAAAACATTCGATCTAAATGCACGCGGCGATGTTATCTTCAAGAGTACGGATTATTAAAAAATTAAATGAGCCATGAAATGAAAATTTTCGACATGGTCGAGTGGGAAAGTAAAAATGGCACGAAAAGACATATCAAAAAGGTTTCTCATTGATATTTTGTTTGAAAACGCAATACCAAATCCCGTAAATTAACCTAAAACCGAGGGGTTTCACGCAACTTAAAATTCATCTAAAATTTCAATATTTCTCTCTTTTCTCTCACATTCTCTGGGATTCACCAAAATCCGTATTATTTCGAAATATTTCAACATTTACCTTGAAAATTATGCTCTGGAAGTGAGTTTTTGAGGATCCTCAGGATCGTTCAAAACTGCTCCCGGTTCTGGAAGTGGGTTTTGGTGGATCTTCAGGATGGATCAGACTGGGTTTGACAATGCCCTGGTCCATCTTGAGGATCCACTTCCAGAACCAGGAGCGGTTTTGAACAATCCTGAGGATCCACCAAAACCCACTTCCAGAATTTTTAGATTCAAAAAATTCTAAAAAAAATTCGAGTTTATGAATAAAAAGAAGCCATATCTATAGTTTACACATAAAATGGTTTTATCTCCAGCTATTTAGTAAAATCTTCGGCCTTCGAGTTTGCGTGAAACCAAAATAAAACGTTTATGATCATACCGACTCAATACTTACGAGGTGAATTCCCAGCTGATAAGCGATCCCCAATCGTGAGCCACTAAAATGAATTTCTTGCGATCTGCAATGACCATAAATTATTGTATTAGATTGCAGAAACTTGTTTGAAATATCAATGGCTGTGGTTCAATTTCGAGAAATCGGCATAGTAATATAAAACAGAAATGTTAAAATTATCAAAAACGATTTGTGTCGCCACGAATTTCACATAAAGTTTATCAGTTAAAAAATTCGAACTCTGGTTGAAACTTATGTAAAATATAAATTTTACTTTAACTTGACCTTACAGGTTCAAGTTTGTTGACGTGTTGGCTGAAACATTATTTGGGAACAGTGACAGTTTAAGATATGACAACAACAACGACAGCAAAAAAAAAATTCTCGTAGTATCGAAACCTTCAAATAATTCGATTGTCAATATATTGATAATCATCCCGATTTGCGTGATATTTCAATATCACAAGCGCATACTTACTCAAATATTCTATTAAACCGCGTAAATCGTCAACCATGTATTGAAACGAGTAGTTTTGTAGTCCAACCGGTCGTTCTGAAAGATTGTAGCCTCGCATATCAATTGCAACAGTCCTGTCGAAGCAAAACAAAGAGGTTAGAATTTTTTATTCCACACAAAAAAGATGATTTCATCATAAATATCTATAAACGTATGTTATATTGAACGAGAATATTTCAAACAAACCAGTAGTCTTTGGAGAATTCGGTGATTTGATTACGCCAACTGTACCTATTTGAAGAAAAAAAAAATCATCCCATTATATCTATTGGCAATAGTTCATTAATTAATTTAAACTAACCAAAATTCGGGAAAACCATGGACGAAAACCATCAACGGTTTACTTTTATCACCCGCTTCGACATAATGCATGCGAATTCCCTGCGCAAACAAGTACAAATACAAGCATTTCCAATTGAACAAATACCAATTCCAATTGGTTTGACACACAACTTACATTAACTGTAGCAAATTTGTGCTGTCCATATTTTGGATCCGATAATAATGCCGGAGCAACAGTCCGTTCTTTGGGTTTCCATGGTGCTGACTTGAATTTGCTTAAATGGAGCACCAGTAACCGAAGGATTGCCACCGAACTGAATACAATCGAAAATGTCCACAAAATTACACATCGAATTATTTCAAACATTCTGATCGCGGCTGAAATTATTTATTATTTCAAAAAAAAAAAAAACAAGTGGATGTTATTGTTAAATTTGCCGAAAACAAAATGCGATTAAATGATATTTTGCCTATAAATTGATCTTCATCAAGTGTGACAAAGCCAGAACGAGAGAGAGAGAGAGTTTCTCTGCGCTTGTGAGGCGAGATTTTATGCTGTTGTTGAATGTGCAAACGCGAACCACTTATTGGCTACATCTATTCAGTTGAAAGCAGTCGACAGCAAAACATCTATGCAGTACATTCATGCTGCAGCCATACACCGACGGTTTCGTTCGTTGGTGTGCTTCATTTATTTCTTTTCTTTCCTTTTCGCTTTCTCTGAAACCGAGTGTACGAGCGAAATAGCAAGCACACTTAAATACGGTTATTATTTTGTGGATGCCTATGTCTTGTACTATTTCATATTTTATTACATTAACGCAAGTCACTTTTATCTTTGCGATTACGTAGCATGATGATAGATTAGTATTTGAATGAGTGAGATTGAAAACAAGACATATTCTGACAATATATCGTTATGATACAAAAAAGAATGATTTTTTTAAACATCGGCAGAGAATTTTTCGAAGTGAAACACCGCGTGTTATATTTCAATAAAATTTGTTTTCCATGATTCACTTTGAAAAACGTTTGCGCTGGTGTTTCCTTTATAAATACTTGTTGGATGATGTTTCGGTTCTGGGAATGCATGATAATTTTATTGATAAGGAATACGAATTTCGATGTGGTGATAACACCAATGGATTGGACACATAAAATACTGTTCCAGAATCGCATTTTCAGCAAATGAAATAATAAGAAAATGCTTATGATTTGAAAAATGTTTTTACATTTATTTCACAAATCGTAATTCTTGCCAAACTTGATCATTTTGTTTTTGCCATGACCTTGAATTTAAACGCCTGACTTTGCTAAAAGTTAAAGAAGTAAGCTTGTGGGGGTTCTGACATTTACTGCGCTTATACGCTGAAGAGCACGGTGTCGCCATCGTTCGTATATTAAGTCAAACACTCAGAACGCACTTTCTGGCCGGGGAAAAAAACCAAACAACAACAAAAGCAACGAACATTCTCACAGAAATCCGTCGTTTGCGAGATATTTTTTTTTCTCGACGCAACATATTCAGCGACGATATCAACATGATATCGACCATTGCCCTATGTCATCTTAGTCGTCGTTGCCATTCACTGGCTATCGTAAACGTTCTGTCAATGATTACTGCTACAAAATTGAGGACAAACGCTTACATAGGAACGCCGTGACTGTGGCAAAACTGAATCACTTTGATACATTTGTTAGCGATTTGATGATAGTGCATCCATCGATATCATTTCTCTCTCTCTCTCTCTCTCTCTCTCTCGCCCACCTTGTACTGTGCAACATATTTTTTTCCTTTCCTGTTTTGTATCACAGCAGTCGGTGGGTGTTTATGTATGTATGTGTACGTATGAAATGGCGAACTCATAAGAGATCCGCAACACGTCGCCCCTATTAAACGTGTGTAGAATGCTTGAAAACTATAAACATGTAGGGTAAAAAAGCCACATTCCGTCGTTTATCGTCAGCCAATACCCCAATGAAGTGTGTATTGCTTGAAACAACTTTAATTTTTCCTTTTGTATTGTAAGTCGTCATTGGAAATTGTTCGGTTAATATGTCACATTACGTGATGATAAAATATAAAATATTGGGGAGACCATCTTAAAAGCTCAAGGTGTAGCGACAGAAAAACGATTGAACACCAGTTGGCGATGTAGGCAGAATGGTGCTTTCGAATATTTATTCACAAATCGAAAATTGTCGACAAAGTAATGGTTGCAATGATCAAACAACAAAACAGCGCAATAATAGAGCTGATAATGCGTCAAAAATACATGACTTTATTTGCATTGATTGCGTTCTACATCGTTTTTTTTCTCACATTCTCAGTTTTTACTTGATTGACCGAAATTAGGTGCAAAGTGTGTGTGTAGATGAAATGACGACCCAATGAACTAGATTGAACTACTAAACTAAAACCGATTCGATCGTTCATTTTCAGTCATTTTTTTCGCCTGATTTTTTTTTCCACATCTGTGCGCGTAATAAAAATTTAAAGCATGATTGCAACCATAAAATTATTTTATGTGCCCGTTAACGTCGTCGAATTCGCATGTTAATTGCACTATGCTTCTGTCTCTCAAACAAAAACACTTTAACGCTTTACCATCCAATGACGATACGAATTTTGTTTTTCGTGTGTTGCATGTGATGGCACTTCGATGCGATGACGCACCAAACATGGCGAACAAACGTTCATTTTGAAATTGGTATGGTTCCGAGCGTGCATTTTCCCGAAATTAATTAAAATGATTTAAATTCAAAACCGTTTGAATCTATGGTAAATTACAATAAGTTTACTAATCAAAGGCTTCATAAAACAGCTTGACGCACCCATTGGCATTTTTAAATGCAGTTAATGGTCGTTTTCGCATTCAAATGCAATTTTGCCGCCAACCAATTTCACCAAAAGAGAGTTTTCACTGGAGAATACAGAACAACAAAATGTAATTATATTTTCAGAACAATGAGATTGAACCATTCGATTTTGGCTTGTTTATGGAGAACACAAATTGTATGTTTTTATTGTTGTTGGGGCTGTTGCTTCTGCTATTACTGCGAAAAGAAGCCAGCTTAATCAGTTTTAACGAAGTGCGAATGTTTCCAACACACAGATTTAACCTGGATTTAACCGTATTCGTAATTAGGGTTTGTTGTTGGCTGTGGCAGCGAATAATGCCTTTGCTTGATAATATGGCATTTCATTTCATGGCAGAGAAATGGAAAGCGAAGAAGAAGCAGGGGGAAAAGAGCGATTCGGCAATGGAAAAGGAAACATCGGTTTGTCGGCTACTTGACGTATGTTGATTGACGTGCTCTAACCTGTGCACATAATCCTTCTGCATATTGTTGTAAATGAATGACGGCAAAATAAAAGATGTGTTGATTGAATTGTTTTCGTGAATATTTATCCCGTTGGCGTGAATGTGTGTGTGTGTGTGTGTGTGTGCGTGTGCGTCTATTCAATTCAACTCAGTTTGATGAACAATATCCGTATAAAAAAATACATTCGGCTAATTTAATGTGCGTTAACTTCTGAAATGTGCGCAATCATCATCACCACTACCACCACCGCCGCCAACAACAACAACTATTGGTACCATTACTGTGTGCCAAATTGTGTGCGCTTTTTTTGGGTGAATATTTTATAGACGGAATGATATGAATAATTGAGGAAAGCATTGCAGATGGAGGAAAAATACTTTAAAATTGAATAACTTTGACATTTTCCGGATGATGTATGCCATCGTTTCGAGCAAGCAAATGAGCGCTCGACCGACCGTCTGCACACCCCTCTTTCCAAACGGACCTAGGCATTGCATGCATTATACGCTCTCCGCATTTCATTCATTTAATATCCGTCATATTATTTCATCTTAATTAGTGTCTTCACGTTAAATAAAATGTGATCTTTATTTTGTCAACAGCAAATTTCGTCGGGTATTTACATGCTATCGTTGTCACTGTCGTTCGTTTGCGTTGAGAGCACAGGTAACCAACTGAATACGGTGTTGATGACAAATCAACGCGAGATACGAAAAGGAACATCAAGACAGCTCGGGTCTCCTTTCAAGCTGTATATTTCTCTATGTTGTCAATCAGGCTGGGCTTTTCTCTAGCTCTGCTTCGCTGTCTCGTTTGCTCTTTTTTCCGTTGTAAGGAGATTGTCGCCTGCCACCATACACCGAGAATGAATGGGAATCGAAAAAAATAAAACATATGAAATCGCTATTTCACTGAATGTGCTCAAAACCTAGCTAAAACCCGTTCTGTTTGAAATGCGCCTTGCAACAGGAAGCCATATACTAAACGCACACTCACTCACTCTTGTTTTCGACCTCTTTTACATGTACGTCTGTCGGTTAGTGTGTGTTCATTTTGAATAAACTTATTTCATAGCCAAATGGAAAGCAGCAACTTTTGGATTATGTGATATGATATTCTCAACATTTTCAGCGACGAGAGTAAATGAGTTTGAAGGACTATAGCGAAAGTTTTGTTTGGCATGAGCGAGTGAGAGAGGGCGCGCGTGTTTTTGTTGCGTGTGGTGACCGCATGTTTGTAATATTGCGCTTGCGAATGCTCGATTACTTTTCAAAACCAACTTATATGTGTTTAATTAGGCAAAAAAGTTTGTATTTGGTCTTCTGCATTCGCTTGACGCTTACACTTGTCGCTCGTTCGAATGTAGTACATTGGCTTGAAATTGTAACTTCGGGCCAGGGAAGCGCAACCCGGAAAAATGAAGAAAAAATATAAAAAAACGAGGAAGATAATAATGATGTACTTGAAGGCATGAAAACTTTTACTATGAAAAGGTTTTTTTGACTTTTCGTCTCTATCAATTCTCGCCCGCCACTAAGAATTAAGCCGTTTTTTGCTTCTGTTGCTACTGCTACTGTTATTGTTGTTATTCTCATTGAGAGTTTTCGTGTCGTTTTTTTCATTAGCTGCTTTTCTGACGATTTCAACACCATTTGTGTGATGTGAAAACATCGTGAAGACTTTAATCGTGTAATGCGGTTTCACTTTGAAGTTTTTCTAAAGGTGTCGTAAAATTAGCTTTTGAATTGTTTCTGCTTTTAGCATCTTCCACAGAGCCGAGTCACCGGACGCAATACGTTTATTTGCTAAGCGTAACTTAAGACATCGTGTGCTCTGGGCTTGAATTCTAGGTCATTCCACCAAAATCGTTCGGAATCATTTTTTTCGTACATAAGACCATATTGGAGTGAAAGAGAGAGATTCCACTATTTTTCACCGTTCCACCGGAATTATTTCTCACACATTTCACTCTTGCTTGAATTATCGGAATAATATTCCGATGGAACGGTGAAAAATTGTGGACCCTCTCTCTTTCACTCCAATATAGTCTTACGTACGAAAAAAATAATTCCGAACGATTTCGGTGGAATTCTTAGAATTCCAGCCCTGGACGCTTCTCCCATTCTGAAGTGTAACGTTCCATCTACATGGCAAGAAATGAGTACTATGAAATTATTATTGACGTTGAATTATATTATAAGGAAGTCAATAATCATTTTTATGATGATCTTTTGATCAATTCCACCGTTCTGTTTGGCACTGAACAAACTTCAAACATAATCATGAGATGATATTTTTGCATGGGTGAATTGATGCAAAACGCGGTAATAACAGGAAAGAGTTCGATTTGAATGTAATATGCCAAAAAAGTGATGCTGTTTTTCCTTTCGTATATATTCTTGCGCCACATCTACAGCTGCCATCGAAGCCAAATAAATGCTTATTTTATATTCATCTTGAATGCATATTCAGTTTGGGCAGAGCCATGAAATCAATTCCATCTTGGCAAGCGCTAGGACAACGACGAT